GTGGGGCTGCCCCGCCGCGCGGGGCCGCGCTCCGGACCCGGCGGCGGGACGGGGTGGCCGCAGGGCCGCGCCGCGGGAGGTACGGGGGGGTTGGGGGGCGGCTTCGCCCCGCCGTGCCCGCGACCTGAGCGCGTGTGGGCGGGGAGCCCCGCGCCGGGATAAATAGCGCTGTCCCCGGGCTGACAGCCCGTCCCGGGGCGCGCGGGTCAGGGGCGGCAGCGCTCGCCCGCCGGTCGGGGACACACTTGGGGCTGTCGGTGACTCCGCTCTGCGGCCCCGCTCCTGCCCCGACCTGGGCTGCGATTTTTTTTCTCTGTTTGTTTGTTTCTGGGGAGAGCCCGAGCAGCCAGGAGAGCCCGGGGCCAAGGCTTTCCCCTCTCTCTCTCCCTGCAGCACAGCGGAGATGCTGGAAGCGGCGGTGAGTTTACAGCGCCCGAGAAGGGCGGCAAGAGGCGTATAAACTCCTGCGGTCCCCTCCGGCAGCCGCTGCCCCACGACCCTCCGCCGGCCCCTCCTCGCCCCGCACGCCGCCGGCCTCGCCGCCCCTCGCCGCCGCCGGAGGAGGCTGCCCACCCCAGCGGCCCAGGATGCAGTTTCGCCTCTTCTCCTTTGCCTTGATCATCCTGAACTGCATGGATTACGGCCACTGCCAGCCCGGCCGCTGGAGACGCAGCAAGAGAGGTGAGTGGCGCCGCCGGCTCGCCCGGGACTTCGGCCGGGGCAGCGGCGGGAGCGCCTGTGGGGAGACGGGCACTGCCGGGGGGCTGCGCTCCCGTCGCTACTGTCTCTCCCTGCCCGGGAAGGGCCGCTCCCCGGCAGGTGAGAGTCGCCCCGGCCCCGCGGGCCCCAGGCCGGCACGTGGGGCAGCAGCGGGGGCGAGCCGGGGGGGCGCGGAGCCGAGCCGGCGTGGCGACCCCTCGGCGGGGCTGCTCGCCGCCCTCCCGCTGGGGAGGTCGGGCCGGGAGCGGGAGGAGCGGTGTGAGCTCCGATGGGAAAGCACCGGCCCGAGCGAGGGGCTGCCGGGGATCGGGATGTGGAGCGGTGGGCGCACTCCCCGCGGGGCCGGGGTCTCGCTGGGAGCTCCCGCCGCGGGAGGGGCCGCAGGAGCAGGGAACGTCGCTGATGCCGCCGTCGCTCCTCGTCCAGCAGCTCCCAGCGGCCGGGGGCTCGCTGTTTGCCCGCGCAGTTCAGACTCGAGTGTCCATGGGATGGACTTGGAGGCTGCTTTCCGTGGACCATCCCTAGAGCGACCGCGTTTCCGAGGCAGAAAGGCGGCTTCTCCCCTTTTATCCTCCGGTACCGCTGTGCCACTCGCGCGGGGCTCGGCCGGCCGAGCGAACCGCACCTTCCCCAGCGCCCAGGGGGCTCCTGTGCCGCCAACTTTGCTGGAAACGTCCAGATCCCTCTGAGGAAAAGAGATAAACGGTGCGTTGGGGCTTGATCTGTTTCCCTAAAGCGCTGGTGTCGGGGTGCCGGAGCTCAGCAGCCGGAGCGGTGCAATGTGCCAGTACAGCTCCCGTGTGGACGGACACGTTACTGCAGCGCTTCCCGGCTGGCAGCCTGGCCGTGGCTTCGTTTGGGTTTTTTCTTTTTTTCTGATGGGTCGGTGGGGAGGTTCACCTTATAAAATGATTTTATTATCCACATATTCTGAATTATTTTGCTGTTCCTTTTCCTGTTGTTTTCTCAGCCATGCCTCCTCTTCCCATTTCTAAAGTTAGCTGAAAATCAGGTGGCTCAAGCTGCTGAGAAATCTGTATTTCTGAAAGAACTGCACTTTTAGTGGTATTATTTGAAAGGGATTTCCAGTGTTAAACGGGTACAAATAATAATAAAACTGTGAGAAGAAAATAGTTTGTACTTTCATGCATATATTGCCTTCAGAGTAGGTACAAATAAAATTGTAAAGCAATTTAGTTTTGATGGTTTTTCAACAGATGGTTTCCAGAATTTAATTTCTGTGTGTGTGGCTAAAACGATAGTAGTCTTTTAAAGTGACCAGACTATCTGTTCTAACAAAGGGTATACTGTGTCTTTAATTAAATGTGGAACTACTTAGAGTGCTGGCTAGACAGTGGAGTGTGATAGTGGCATTTCTGCTTTACAACAGAGCTTAAGGACTGCATTGTGGGAGTACTGAAATGAATAGACATCTAACTCGAGTTGTGTGAATTGTCCTTCTACAAAAACTTAAGCTGGTTTTAATTGATCTCATGTTCACTGATTGATCTTAGACCAATTGTTGTGCTTGTTGAACAGTTGGCTTTTCCAAAGGAGATGGATTTAAATTAGTTTTTAGTTTAATTATTGGATAAATACCATCAGTATTGACAGTTGACTTACTGGCACTGTTTTGTGTGATCACCTAAGGGTTTTGTTTTGAGCTTTGAAGAATGCAGTCTTTTTCAGTTAGTAAGTCTAAAAAAGTAAGCATAGCCAGTTCTAAGCACTGAAAACAAAATCTAAGAATGTATTCAAATTATAATAGACATTTGCCATGACACATGCAGTCTGAAGTAATGCTTTCATACAGGACCCAAAATTCCAATAATTTCACAATTTTTCCATATCCCATCTGCAAATAATCAGGCAGTCACTGTGGGGTACTGGCAGTTAAAATTTCTCTGGCATACTCTTTTGTCTGTTACATGATCTCAGATGCTCCATAATATCGTTTTCTTAATGAAATACAATTTTTGGCATAGATTAAGTCTCCTGTGTGGTAGAAATCAATTGGATTCAGTCTGGAATTATAGGCAAATATCATGTGTAGCTGATTTTTTTTTTAAAGCAGCTAAATGTACAATAAACTTTAAGTATATATGCCTGTATTGACATTTGTGTTGATTTGTAGCTGGTGTAGAATACTCTAGTAAAGAAGAGTTTAGTAAATTTGAGGGATGTTCCCAGAATTCTTCATTCCCGTTCTGCTTGCAACCCTTTCTGAAACCAGGGCTTGCAACATTGCACTAGAAGTGGAATGAAAAATTAGGGTTTACAATGTGGTTCCTACTAACTTGTGTTAGTCAATGTTATTTCATTAAAATTTTTTGGATAAATGTGTAATAATTAATAGGTTCTCCTTACTCCACTGCTGCTCTCAGTTACTTTTGCAGCTCATTAGAATTTTGCTTTGCCTAGTTGCTCAGAGCAGAATCTTACATTCCTTAAAACACCCCAGCAAATTCTCCCTCTGGAAGTTTCTGCCCTGAGCAGGTAATTATGACCTTTTTGCCTTTCTTGAAGAAGATTTTTTAAAACCTACTTAAGGGTTACCTATCTTAAAGGTCAGTGGTATAATCTCACAGCTGTCTTAGCCTAATCTTTCCCTTTCTTGTTGAATTGTATAATTTGATTTTTTGTTTCTCTTGGATACCTACTTGCTTGGTCATTACAAGGAAAATTTATCTCTTCAGATTTCTCTTTAGCAGTTGGTATAAGATAGGCAACTTCATGTCTTAGCATTTCACTGAATATCACAGGGTACATGAAAAACTAGTGGTTTTTCCCTTGTCTGAGACATAATAAAAAGAACTTCTCCAAAGAGAACCACAAGTCAAGATTGGGGTACATAGAAATGAAGACTGCCAGGCTGGCTTCCTGTGAGAAGTGATGGTATTCCACAAAAGCATTGACAGAAGAAAATATAGGGATCCTTGTGAACAGCCATCAAAAAATAGATGCTAACAAAATTCCCCAAGGAAAAAAAAAGTCAGTGTAACAGCAGTGCCTGTATTGATGGGAAGACTCAAGATTAATACAGAGAGGCTCTCTCGAGTTGGTGAGACCAACGCTGGAATAAGGAGAGATGTGAATGGGACACATTCACACTGGGAAACTGGAAGTTGCCTGTATTCAAGAACTCAAAGAAAACTTGTGGCTGTCAAATACTTGTCATTCTATTTAGTTCATATTCATGGGGTGTCATAAGGGCTAAGGTGAATACTCATCTCCTAGATGCTCACACTGTATTAGAGGTACAGAAAGGTGTAATATTTGTGGCAATGAGTGACTAGTAGTGACAGTGGTGGTGGCAAAATACCCACAGGTGGAAATAGGAGACCCTGGGGAAGGAAATGTCATGAGTGTTTCTCAGATCTCAATATAGCTTTGCATACAGTGTTTATAGGAGAATATACATATATGGAGGGGCACAGTCACTGGGATCAAAATTATGTCAATTAAATCTTTATAATCTTGATGTAAAATGGGAATCTTGACCACAAACCTGTTATTAATATAGGAAGCTGCTACATGGATTTTCAACTAAAAGAAAAACCTGTTTGGATATTGGTGATTGTGATTTAGCTTCCCTAACAGGGTACTTACCTGAGATGGGAATAATCTTGGAGCCTGTCTCAGCTGGATTGTGTGGTCAGGCTTTGGGAAAGATAGATGATTTGAGCATTAGGGAAAAAGAGCCTGTGTTGGAAATGCTTGACTGAAATAAATACCACATCTACTTTTACAAGGGCTGTACTTGCTCCTAAAGAGTAATTTATCTCAAAAAAAAAAAAGTCATACTACAAAGAATATCTTTTAGTTTTCCAATGGTATCCAAATATTTTAGCAATTCAGTCCTCTTCTCTTTGAACTTTCAGCATGTCTTACATTTGGAGGACAGTTAACTTTTTGTCTGTGGGTTAAGGCTTAGAATCTTAAGTGGAAGATGTACTTTGAAATGTTTTTCCTCAGATGTTACATTAATTGCTTGTAACAGAACTTGTAAAAGAACGGAGACATGTTAGTACTTCAAGGGGTAATTTTCAAGGTTCTTGTGATCAGTAGAGAAGCTTTGCAGGGTAGCTTCTGTTCTTTCCTCGGACCCTTACTTAAGATAGTTAATAATTAAACATTCTTTATACATACATCATTACTACAGCAGTAAGAATATCCTAATACTGTAATCACTGAAAAGTCAAAACTTTTAAACTTTTGACTACTTATACCTTATTTGGTGCGTATGAGGAAGTTTCTTAAAGTGCCAGAAATCAGAGTTTCTGTGTGAGTGACTGAATACTGGACTAGCTAATGATGGAGCATTACTGAGGATAAGCAGTGTTCAAGTGAATTGTGAAGATTTGAAGAGATGCTCCAAACACCAAGAGCAGGATTCACCATTGAAACAGACACTTAAATTTGGGTGTTTGATTCAGCTTCACAAACTAGGTTTGTAGAGCTGCTTATGATAGATATTTAAGCGATGCTTCTGGGCTTGGTATGTATATGATCTTCTTGAGCAACCAGAGGCCAAGCAGGATACCCTGGAGCAAGTCATATGCATCTGACACCTTTAGGTGTCTCAAGGCCCATTATTTGGAAACTGGAAATGGGGAGCATGTGCTGGCACAGTGTTGTGTGTGTGCTTTCCCTTGTCTGTATCCATCCCTTTAGCTTCCATTATAGGTCACTTGAGGTTAGGATACTGGAGTAGATGAGTGTGCCTGGTCACACCTCGAAGTTGATGCTTACATGCTTTTGTGTTAAAACCTGTAGTAAGATTTACCTGTGGTGAGGTACATATATCAAGCACACATATTTGTGTGCTTGATAAACTTAATTTTACATTTTCCCATTTTTGGGGAAGGAGGAGGTGTATATTTTCCAAGGCTTGGCTGAAAACTGTCACTAAAGTAGCTCAAAATGCATGACAGATACCAAAAGTGAGTTTCTATACTAAC